CTCCCGGAACGTTGTAACGGTCTGCATAATCAGCGACATCTAACAGAAGTTGCACATTCTCACCACAAAAGCGACCTGGAATTCCACAGGACTGGTCCGGCGAAACAACAGATGTTATTACGGCAAGAAGTTGATTAGCCAGAGCTTTTGCAGCGATCTTGTAGTCAACACACAAGAGTGTTATCGGACGGCAATTCACTGCATCAAGACAATCCCCCTTCTTAAAAAGAAGCGAAATTGCACCGCATCTCAGGGATATTGGTAGAACACCTTGATGGTAACAGGAGTTAAGCACCTCAACCAAATCTGGGCCCAACAGCTTCCAGAACCGCATAAAAAATTCAGCCGGGAAACCATCTACCCCGGGCGTTTTGGCCTTGGACATCTTGGAGACAGCTCTCCAACATTCCTCGATCGTGAGGTCACCTTCACAGAACTCCGAGTTTTCTGGCGACAAAGTACGTTCGATGCTGTTCAAAAACAGCACTTTATCTTCTTCAACTAATTCTTGAGATGAGAATAGGTCGAAATAGAAATCTCGCCAGACGTTCAAGACGTCTTTCGTGCTCGTTGCCATGGAGCCATCTTTCCGCCGAATGGCATCAATCAGTCTCCTCTGACCCCGAAGCTTTTCCTGTCTCAGGAAATAAGACATCGATCTCTCCCCTTCTTCAGCATCCTGGATTCTCGCCCGTAACCGAGCACCCTGACCCTGATGAAGCAAAAGCTCATCAAGTTCAGCCCTCGTCTCCTCTAGAAGCACGGAGAGATTGTTACCATCATCGGCCCTTTTCTCGAGATCTTTGAGCTCAACTGCAAAATTTGTTCGCTCCTTTCCTGAGCCAATTGCTTTGAAAAGTCCCGAACCAAAGCGCGAAGCTTTGTCTTGCCTGCTTCATACCAATTTGAAAGCCGGACAAACCGACTGCGCTCCCGGCGCCAGCTGCACGGAAATTCTTCAACTTCCGCACAAAAGGCTTCGTTCTGAAGAAGCAAGACGTTGAACTTCCAACAACCAGGTCCACGTTCCACCCCTCTAGGGAGGTCCAGCTCCAGATACACACAACGGTGATCCGAACGAACGAAAGGAGTTATATCCACAACACGGACCCGACCCTTCCATCTCTTTGACAGCCAAATCATATCGATTCGAGACCCCTGGGAACCATTTGTCCTCCAGGTGAACTCCTTGACACCAGGGTGCAATTCACGCCAAATATCGTACAGTTCGAATGTACTCATCAGATCACGATGAGTGGAGGCCCAATTGTTTGCCCATGGGGAGTCGGGATTACAACCGAAACGATCAATACGAGGATCAATTGTCGTGTTGAAGTCGCCACACATCAACAAAGGGATGTCCGGATCAATTTCCTGGTAAAGGGACTCAAAAAATTGTTTCCCTTCAGCTTTGTCTTTAGGCGCGTAGAGGCACATGACTTGAAAATCACCACTGTCACCAGAGAACTCGGCGACAACGAGTCTTCCCTCGTCATCCCTCTTTGTACACTCTACCTGGAAATTGGGACAGAAGAGAATAGCAACACCTGAGGAGCGCGCGCTGCCCAAACACCTAACACATTTATACTGGGCGGATCTAGAAACACAATTAAGTGAGTCTAGCCACCCTTGGAACTCGGCAATAGAGGTTGCATGTGTTTCTTGCAGACAGACAATGTCCGGACAAAAACATGTTAACCACGAAAAGAAAAACAAGTCGAGTCCAGGGAACGCATCCCTGACAGTTAATGGAAACTATCTTACTTGGACGCTTCATCAGGCAATACATCATAACGATTCCAAACTGTCGAGGTAGACTGCGAGGATTTCCGGGAGGTGGGAAGTGGGCTCAGTCTGGTCGCTGAGCGGTAGTCTAAGGGAGACACGGAAGAATCTTTAGCCAATCTCTTCATCTTACGGCTCATCACTATTCTCTGCTTTCGACTGGCACTGTCCTCTTCCGATGAAAGAGAAAGTTGGGAGGGAGGCTTGGGCCTGGGCATCAAGTCTACTGGAGGATCACCCTTCACCAGGGTACGGACCAAAACTTTATCAGGTGGAGTACTACCGCTAGCTGGTATTTTAGAAGGATCGAGGGAAATGTCCGAATCATCAGCTACCATTTTAGGAGGATCGAGGGAATCAGCTACCGGTTCTTCATCTAAAGGATCCTGGAGGTTCTCTACTGGAAGAGTCGTTGGAGGGATGATTGGGGCAAGATCTTTTGGAGCCAACGAGTCGACAGAATTGTCACTGGGTGCAGGAGGATCCTTAGGAACCAAGGGCACATCTTTGGAGATTGAGGATTCACCCATAGGGTCACCAGAGGTCTCCATAGTGAGGATTGGAGCAGTTTCGGGAGAACTATCGTTGGGTGCCGGAGGATCTTTAGGATCCAGGGGTACCTCTTCAGCAACGGTGGATTTACTTTGACCTTCACTACCGGTATCCACTGGGGGGGGGGAGGGGGATCGGGTTGGAGAGGGGGGAGGAGACCGAGTTGGAGGAGGGGGAGGAGACCGAGTTGGAGGAGAACGAGGATGCGATGAGCTTCCTTCATTCACAACCTGAGCATGTGATAACTCTTCACCAGAGGATGAGGTCCGTACCCGTTTCTCTCCACAGGGAATCTCCTGGTCTGGATCAACTGTATTGATAACAGCAGGAAGAAACGGAAGTACCGCTTTCTTCTTCTTCGTAGGGCAAGTCTTAGCTTCGTGACCAGATACTCCACACACAAAGCAAGAACGTGGCTGATTACGATAAAATACATTGAGCGGATTCCCTTGTACTGAAATCCTACTAGGTATGTCCGATTTCATGACCATCTCTACTACCATTTTACAGAGGTCATAGCCTTTGAACTTAACCCGATGAGACTTCTTAACCTCACCATACCGCTGTAGCAGGGACACCACAGCATCGGCAAGTAAGCCGTATGGAACCTTTTCGAAGGTTACATTTGTCGAATTTTTTTGCAGCTTCCAGTTTCACTGGATGTCCACGGAAATTAATGCCATTAGCTATAAATTCGGTGACTTGCTCACGCTTCGCAAGATGGATAAGGAAGGCTTTCGCCGAATATTGCATAATGCTGCATACGGCAGAATGCATGTTCACTTCTCCCAACTGGGATTCAAAATCATTAATAATTTCAGTTAATGTTGGGGCCGGTGTTAATGCCAGAGCAGCAATTGTCCCCACAACCGCACGATGGCTTTCATATATAGGCATGATGAAAGTCCAAATATACACACGAAAATATAGAAAAAAGAAAAAAAAGTTACCCCGCCTAGAGACTATTTGTCACTTAGACGTTGTTGTCCACACAGTTTATATATATATACAGAGGTCCACCAAAAGATAGCAGTGAGTAGACCAAACACCAAAAACACACAGGATGCGCACGCACGGCAAGACCCACGGATGCCACAAGGCGGCCTCCAAGCCTGAGCACCAGCCCAAAAACACAACCAGGACCAGGATCAGAAACAAATAGCAGGAGCAAAAAACAGCAGGAACACAGGAACAAACTTGAGGAACGACTTGAACAGTAACTTGTAGAGGTCTTCTAAATACCAACAGCAATCAACAATATTCTTTTCAGAGAACTATCGAGATAAATAATCTTAGCCAAAAGGCCGAGAAGCGATAACCCGTTTTCGGCAAGACTTTATTGCGCGTTGGCGAGCCCGCTCGACCCGGTGCCGGCTGCTGATGGCGTGTGCGATCGAGCGAGCTGAATCGGTCGCCGGCACGAAGAAGAAGCCGACCAATGTCGCTGCTGCAGCTCTCGTTATTTTGCGAACGGGTACGATGCGAGGCTGGCGGGGCGCCTACGCTTGCCGAGACGTCCTCGTGGTCACGCTTTGCCATCATTACGTAGTACTGTCGAGAGTTGGTGAACAACGATCGTGAAGCTGTGTTTTTTTGCGGTTTTCGGTCATTTGCTTTCATCATCACAGTTCCGATAGATAGTTGGTCATTCATTTATCCGTACGTCGGTCGATGTGTTGCCTCGCAAGAGTTGTGGTGCATGGTGCCATACATGCATGAGTACTGCCGGCCGGCGCCATTTGCTGCTGCATATGTGCTGATATCGGAGACGTTGTTGTATACGGTGGTAGTATATGTATATATAGTAATGGCACGCGATCCGTCGATCGGTAGCGAGAGCTGATGAATAGTTGTCGAATTTCAAACGATTTCCTGAGATTCGGTTACACTTAATGACTTGTGACAACCCGGTTGTTAAAAAATCAAGTTGTTATTAGCAGCTTTCACACGCAGCACGCTTCTGAGTAGTTTTACACTTGTTTTTCGTTGTTTTTTTTTTGAATCATGAACATGATGAGGTGGCCGAACTGAAGGGAGAAGGGGACGAGCGCGAACGCAGGTCCCCACTACCAGAAATTATACGCTCGAGTTACCCACATTAGGGGAAATCGCAGGAGTCAACCCAGTCGAAGTGCAATGAAAGGGCCTCATCCTGAGAGAACCTCCTAGTTGATCAAGGTGCCTCTCGTGTCAGGTAAGTATGCTTTCGTAGCAGCGCGGCAAGCTTATAATTGTGGCGACGAAGCGTTTCGATCACGGTCGTTAACCGCCGCGTTACAGTAGTGAATAATATTCATACAAGTACGTACGTACGCCGTTTCGGTTACCTGAATGCAGTGGCTGTTCGTAACTGGTTTCCCGATCGATCGAGGAGTCCGGCGGCGGCGGTTCGTGTCTGAAATGGAAAGCGGCCGTGAGTTGATATATCTGTGAGGTTTAACTCTACCGAAACAGAATTTTAGAAAGAACAATGCAAATTAAGTTATAGCATTGAATAATAATATGTATAGGGCTGCATGGCTGAGTATAATAGATTGATAGCTACTAGATCGGATACTAATATATATGATAGAATCATATACTGAGCGAGTTTTCAGTGTTACTGAATTCATATTACAGTTTTGTTTCGATTCAAATGATTTGATTCTTCCCCTCGCGTTGAGGGGAAGAGGGCCGTACTCGGATGTAGTGCAATACCGAGACAACCCGTGGTGGCCAGGGCGAAGCAAGCTTCAATCCCAGGGCCGAAGGCCAAAAATCAGTTTAATATATGAGTTAGGCATTGCCTAACATATCAGATATTAAGCTGATAAGAACAGAGTTATTATAATTTATTTCTTTGAAAATTAGATATTTACATACGTTATAATTACTATATAAGGATACTAATAAAATAGCACATCAATTTACAAGAAATGAGAAATAGTTCTCATAAGAAGGGGGAAATGTGAGAGGTAAGTGAGTATAAACAATACTATATAGACAAGTGTCTTTTACGCACTCAAATTAAGCACTAATTATGCAAGAAATAAAATTGCATTATCAAGTGTCTTTACGCATTGAAGTGAGGCACTAATTATGCAATAAACAAAACTAAATGATCAAGTGTCTTTAACGCACTCAAATGAAGCACTAATTATGGGAATAATATATGAATCAAATACCACTGTTAGTCAGTAGTACCGTTTAAATGAGAGACTGTTCAAGTAACTATATTTTTAATCAATGTCATCGATACTACAAGATAAATGCTCATAGTAAATGTCAGTAGAACCCTGTATAACGTCACTGCAACAGAGTTTACGAAACAGGGACCGATAAGATCTTGTCATCTTGAGTTTGTTCAAGACCACTTCGTTATTAGGATGCCAAGCACCAAGGGAACCAATCACGAAACCAAACACTGAGCAGTTCTTTCCTTGATCTTCGAAGTGCTGTTTGAGGTGCTCATATTTCTGGAGTTTGGCTGCTTCAGCGATAGAAAGGGCATCACTATCATTTTCAAAGGGGCACGTGACATCAATGATGGTGACATCATTATCATCCATAATTACGATGTCTGGGCGGAGTTGATCTGGGGAGTCAGGAACTTGTTGGTCAAGGCGGACTTCACCTGAGCGAACGGCGTTAGCTAGTCTGTCAACGACTTTGTTGTGGCGATTGCGAATTTGGACCATGTGTGGTGGGCAATGGCATAAGATGTGAGGGAGGGTTTCAGCATCGGAGGAACAATTGCGGCACGAGGGAGAACAGTCACACCAACGGGCTTTATTCTGGTTAGTTGGGACGACGTTCAGACGTGCACGATGAATAAATCTCCAGTCCTTGAAACGAAGGTTAAGACCCTTAAACATCCAAGACGAGCCATTGTAGAAGGAGTCAGCCATCAAACGGCGAGCTACTTTGCCTTGGTCAGGGAGGTCGGTTAATTTCTCAGCTGCTTGATCTTGTACCAGACGATGGAGAAAACCACAAACGGCTTTGGATAGACAAGGGCCGTTACCTCCTGCCGAGATGGAGGGTTGGTCATTATCTGGGACGGAAAATTCAACTTTGAGGCGATTACAGGAGACTCTCGTACCGGACCAGAGAGATTGACGTCAGTAACGGATCTTATCCGGGTGAAGGTTTCCATGGTTAGAGCCTGAAAGGAATTTCTTGAGAAGACCAGAAGAGACGTTATCTTGGGCGGCGTACCTGACAACCTGGCACAATTCTGCTTTGGCAATTGACACCACAAACGGATCCGAGGATGACAACATTCTGATGGCTTGAACAATGGTTTGAATGTCGACTTCTTTCAGGGGATCCTGAAAGGCAAGACCACCATGTTTCCTAGAGGCAAATACGTAATGTGTTGTGGCACGAACAGGGAGATTGCAGATGGAGCGAACGACCTGAATCAACTTCTTTCTATAATTAATTAATGAGCGCTTGAGGGGGTTTCCAGCACGAAGGGCATACGTGAGGCAGGGTTGGACGAAGGTTCTGATCGCATCGAGTTTTTGCCACGGAGCGAGAAGAGAGAAGCTTATGCTTTCTAGATCATCACACAGGTCATCGACAATATGCTCGATATTGGAGACGTCACGAATCACACCAATAGGGACACCCAAATAACGGTAGTGTTCATGGCTCTGTAAGGCCGGAATAGATTTCCCCTGGACTTTAAAATCGTTGATGGCAATATTACCTTAAACACGTCTAGAATTAGTTAGGCTGATGGAGGCACACTTATCTTGGCGGAACTCAAGGCCAATTAGAGAAGCAGAAGAGCTGGCGGCATCAAGGAGTTGCTGTAGATTATTTTTGTTCCTCGAGATAAGAACAAGGTCATCCGCGTAAGCAAGGACGGAGATCGGGGCACCATGATGAAGAGCAGGACCACACTTTTGACCACTAGCGCTGATGGATCTCAGAATGATCTCAATACAAAGGTTGAAGATGATGGGAGAAAGGGGACACCCTTGTTTCACACCAGCTAGGACAGGAATCGGGGGAGTAGAACCTGACGGTGTTCTGATCTAAGTAGAGGTACCAGTATACACATTAGAAATGAGGTCAACAAGCTGCTTAGGAATACCCATGTGACTAAGTGTCAACGATATGATGTCATGCGGGACACTACCAAACGCGTTTCTAAGGTCTAACCAAGCCAAGAAAAGGTTTTTGCTGTTACGCTGACAATCGGTGACAAGCGATTGCAATATGAATGTATGTTCGTAGCAACCCTCTGATGGACGAGCACTCTTCTGAGATGACGACATTAAATTGTTAGAGTTGACGTGAGAGACCATACGGTTTGCGATGATGCTCATTAACAGTTTGTAAATGCAACTCATCAGTGCGATAGGGCGGAAATTTAACACGTCTTCAGTGGAGCCTTTCTTATGGATCAGAACGGTTGATGATGTTTTCCATTCGGCAGGAACATCACTCTGAGACATGCATCTACGGTAAATGAGGGCCAAAATTTCACCTTTCGGATCAACAGCTTTAAAATGACGATATTCAACACGGTTAGAACCTGGAGCGGAATTAGCAAGAGATCTGAGCTTTTTGGACACTTCATAAGGCGACGGGGCAGCATAAAGGTTTTCGTCCACATCAGCGGCGGGAACGAACTCTTCGAGACCTTTCTTTTCCTCCTCAACATTACAAGTTTTTTCCCCAAACACATCAGAGAAAAAAGAATTAGCATCATCAACAGTTCCTGTGTAAGAAGGAGAGTTGTTATTCAATATTTTCCGAGCAGCACGTTTCTTAGAGAACCGATAAAGACCTTGAATCTTACGAGCAGCGACAGGATCGTATTGGAGTGGACGTCGATTATTAGGAACCGGACAAGCAGAAGGACGGTCTGGACGACGAGCAGCTGGTTTTTTCCTCGAGTCGTTAAGATGAGCAGTTTGGACTATATTATTGGCGAAAGCACTACAGCTTGCTGAAAAATTGTCCCAAGAAAGGTCAGAGGAGAAGGTGTTCGACCACTTCGACTGAAAGTCACCAAGGGGGTTGTTAGGATTAGCTAATGGTTCCAAGTTAAACGATCCTGATTCATTAATGGAGGGAGGAGCATTAATCGGCTGATGCGAGACATCATTAGATGGAGAAAGATCACCAAAATTACTTGCCTGGGAGGAAGGGGGAGACGAGATCGTTGAGGGAGGAATATGATGTTGGTTAATTAACTCACTATCAGCGGTCTGCGATACATTGCCAGATAGGTTTGGAAATGACAACGGGGGGGGGAATGCTGAACATAGTATCATTATCGCTAGGAGCCTCAGGGTTGATGGAATCAACAAAACTAGATGATTGATGACTAAAGGGGGGAGGTGAAACCACGGAGGGGTCTGAACAAGGTAAAAAGGTATCCTCATCATTAAAAGGAGTCTCAGAGATAGTGGAGTCTTCCGTGTTGATTGATTCAAGGTTGAAGGGAGGAGGGGATACCCCTGAGGGTTCCGAGGAAGGTACATCCGTAGAATTAGGAGAGATTACTGAGAATGAAGGATCACCCATGGATGAGACAGTGACATCAGAGACATGAGATGAGCCAAACGATGGAGACGAAAAAGGGTCAATGGGTGAGGATTCAACAGGCACACGAAACCTTGGGATGGATTGAATAAGAGTGGGGCTAATCGGAGCTAGCCTGGGAGCTTTCTTCTTTGAGATGTTATGTTCTCTCTTACAATGAACACCAACGCCTTTAGCAGTGGGAAAATCTTTGTTGCAAATCGAACAATGACCGGACGAGATGAGGGAAACATTCTTATGAACATTGTCAAAGTGTCTTTTAAAGTTAAGAAAGCTACCAATAACATTGCCACATAAGCAGCATGAGAATTTCTTGCTTTCAGGATAAATACAAACAACTTGAACTGCTTCAATCAGGGAGTCGTCAGTAGGATGGGATTTAATGCGATGGACCCCAATACCGCTGCGAAGACGATGTAAATTCACAATGAGGGCATTCATAGTTACAAGAATTATCCGATGACCGACAAGCCATGAAAATAGTGTTTAGAAAAACCAAAACCACAAGAAACCAATTACTAATGTTGAGAATGGAATGAGAGACAATATCCGTTGAAAAAATGGAGAGAAAACACCAAATCTTGCGATTAAATCAAATAACGTGTTGCTAGGCAACAAACGCGTCCCAACGGTTTTCCAACGGTTTTTCACTAAAACCTGTGTAGTTTGAATTTGACTGGACCAAATCGGCTAAAACTTCCTGAGTATGATCTTATAAGTACCAGGCAACTGTCGATTGTAAAATAATTAACCAAAGATACCAAATAAGCCAAAAAAAACAATTACAAATAACGATGCCAAATGCGATCAATTGCGTGAAAATGGCGAGAAAAACAAAGACAGTTATCTTCGTGAAAATAGAAAATTCCACCACAAATTTAAATATCCAAGTAAATAATGATAAGATAGTCCAGAATAAACCAAAAACCAACAGGATATGTTCACAAAACGTTAGTATACCAAGCGAGAAAATCCACCAAATATAACGGGATAGACGCCAATAAACAAACACAAATAATCATCAAACAATACACGGAAACCAAAAACAAACTAGCCACGTAGCTTCTGATAGCCTTAGCAATATTTTGATATCAAATTTACTGTGAATTGATCAAGTGTAGTAGAAAAAATAACATTAAGCTGATAAGAACAGATACTACACTTGATCTTATTTTGAGTTGAACGACAACAGGCTTGTCGACTCCGACGGTGCAATGGAGCCTGAACCTTTTCTTGTTGCCGCACCCAAGGGGGCCACTACTTAGTGACGCAGATCGTCTGAGGATATGAACCTCTCCCCTGTGCCATGAT